GTAGATGACGGCATTTGCAGAAATTGCCGCATAATTAGATGAAAGAGAAGTTAATAGAACTTAAGACTTTGTAGTAGGATAGATTTTCGTATTTATAAGCATTATAAGTTTTTATGAAAGTTCCAAGTGCCTGTGGCCTCGCGCGTGGTGTTGTGCGTCGCCACAGCGCTGCGAACTGCCACGCCTCCGCCACACGGCGCTAAACGTGCCGCGTGGCAGACAGCTGGCAGGGGAGTGGTAGCGCGCACATTAGCGGCCCCATAATGACCCGAATGTTCGTGGTATTTTTTTTACACGTGGAGCAAAGGATTTTAAAACCTGACGACCTGACGAATATGCTTCACATCGCTGGCACAACCGATAACAATACTCCAGTCCATCGTTCCGGGCGATCTACATATATTATATATAATATATAAATAAGTATAATATATATATATTATGTGTGTGTGTGGTGTGTGTGTGTGTGATGTGTGGTGTGTGTGTGTGTGTGTGTGTGTGTGTCGTGTGTGATTTTTGTGTGTCTGTCTGTGTGTGTTGTGTAGGCGCGCAGCGGTGCGTGCATTGTCATGTTAGGTGCATGCGTGCGTGTGCTGTGTGCGTGCGTATTACGAAGCCTGAGCAAGATCGTTGTCTCGAAAGCTTCATTGGGGGGAATGCATAAATTTAATACATCATATTCTATTTTGATATAAATAAATAAATAAATATATATATAAATATATATGCGAAAGAGAAGAATGGGGAGAGAGCGGGCGGAGAGAGGGATATAGACAGAGGCAGAGGCAGAGGCAGAGACAGGGAAGAGAGAGAGAGAGAAGAGAGAACAGACAGACAGAGAAGAGAGAGAGAGAGTACAGAGCGAGAGAGAGAACAGAGGCGGAGAGAGAGTAGAGAGAGAGAGAGAGAGAGAGAGATGAGAGAGAGAGAGAGAGGAGAAAGAGAGAGAGAGAGAGACAGCGCACAAAGACAGGGCAGAGCAAGAGACCATCAGAGAGAAAATAAAAGATATGCTTACAGCACGTTTAATCATATTCACGCGTAGAGACAGATACAAGTCCCTCCGCAACAATAGCCCCCCAAGACTGGCCGGAATAGGCGCGGCATGATGCTTTTAGTATACTTATATGCCAAGCACGCGTCCATATGTCCCAACCAACATAAGAGTAAAGGGGGGGGGGCAAGCTACACCTTTGATGGATTGCATTATTGGATCGAGGATGGATTGGAAATCTTGTGTTGAGTTTCTGCACAGAGGCGGTTCGTAGCGTGAGTTTATATGCAAAAAAGATTAAATTGGCCGGAAAGGCCCGGAATGGCTGCCGGAAGAGGAAGGAGGCTGGCCGTTCTACAACGGCGACAGCGGTCCGATGTGTTCGAGGCGAGCGAACAAAAGGATACCAATGAAGTATCGCCGCATTTCGTTTTTGCGCGGCTTTGACGTCCCGATGATATGCATAGCTTCACGCCTCTGAAAATGCTCGGTAGTCCAGCCTGCAAATACGACACACCAACAACTAAGATCGCGGCGGTGGTGCGCGCGCACGCACGTCATCCCTGCATGTGTCCACCGCTCCTGCCCGGTCGAACGCATTCTTCTCATCCAAGCAGCGAAACGTAGTGACAAGTGTATGTGTGTGTGTGTGTGTGCGTGTGCGTGTGCGTGTGCGTGTGGTGTGCGTGGCCGTATGCGTGTGCGTGTGCGTGCGCGTTGCGCGTGTTGCGTGTGCGTTTAATGTATTGTATGCTGATGTAATGTATGTATGTTATGTAATGATGTATGTGATTTTATATATATATATATATATATATATATATATATATATATAAGGGTCTGCTGCAACATATATATATATATATATTATAAGACGGAAGGATATTGAGAAAGAATTTCTCGCTGTTTTCTCGCACAAGTGTTTTTCGAAAATTCTCACCTAAATTAGTTAACGTTAGGGCACCTGCAATTAACCCTAGAAATGCTGTCCTGAAAAAAACCGGAAGATTTGTACGGCCGACATGAACGCACAATGAAGCACGATGTTTTGACCGAGTCGATTAATTCAGACCTTCCCTGCACATCACCGCGCAATGTGCCAAGCTTTATAGTACGAATTCCAGGCTCCTACGCCAATGGCTGCTATAATAATAATGTAACATTAAAAAAATATTCTAATAAATTATAATATATAACTGCTATGAATATTGCTCGGTTCTGCCTCATGCACAACGCACGCTCGTAATTTCTAATAACGGATAAAAACTGAAGACGCAAACCGTTTCCAGATAATTTCAACTCACTAGCAAAATGGAATCATTCTCCTGCTCGAGCTTCAGAAGGCAACAGTAATCCGCTGTTTTTTTAAATACTTTTTTTTTTGGGCATGCAAGGAGAGGCTTGCAACATACACAGCAAATATTGTGCTCCATGCACGGTGCCATCCTTTTGGCGAGTGCCACTAACCGCGTTGTTTCATTATCTCGACTTTATCGGACAGCCTGCTAGTCTGGCATCGCCTTGCTCGTCTCTTCTGGTTGCATGCGAATTAACGTGCAGAACATGTTACAAGCGTGTGTGTGTGTGTGTGTGTATGTGTGCGTCATGTGTGCGTGTGCGTGTGGTGTGCCGTGCGTGCCGTGCGTGTGTTCGTGTGTGTGTGTGTGTGTGTGTGTGTGTTAGTGTGTGTGTAGTGTGTGTATGTGTGCGTGTGCGTGTGCGTCTGCGTGTGTGTGTGTGGGTGTGTGTGTGTGTGTGTGTGTGTGTGTGTGCGTGGTCGTGCGTGCGTGTGTGTGTGTGGTGTGTGTGTGTGTGTGTGTGTGTGTGTGTGTGTGTGTGTTGTGTGTGTGTGTGTGTGTGTGTGGTGTATGCGTGTGTGTGCGTTGTGTGTGATGTGTGTGTGTATATGTGCTCTCTCTCTCTCTCTCTCTCTCTCTGTCTCTGTCTCTGTCTCTGTCTTATGTCTCTGCTCTGTCTCTGTCTATGTCTCCTGTCTCTGTCTCTGTCTCCTGTACTCTGTCTCTGTCTTGGTCTCTGTCTCTCTCTCTCTCTCTCTCTCTCCTCTCTCTTCTCACTTCTCTACTCTCTTGCTCTCGTTCCGTTCTCTCTATGTGTGGCGAGGTGTATGCGTCTGTCTGTCTGTCTGCTGTCTGTGTGTTTGTGTGGCGTGTGAGTGCGTTACCATAACACAGATTAATCTGTTCTAGTTCGACTACATAATCACCGATGGCGACAATCTTCTCGAAGTTTTACATTTATGTTAATAAAGATTTTAAATTAATGCAAATTTACTGCGTAATGTAATAGAATAACAAGTTAGGTGGCTCAGTGTTGTTAAGTGATACCGCTTGCCGCCCTACCTATGCTGGAACTCCACAAGAATGTACACGTACAGTGAAAATTCCATCTTTAAAATTTAAAAAACGTCCTGCAGCAAACAGTACGCACGTGAGACGGATTCTGTCTTCTCCGGCACACGGAAAAAACTGCCTGGTTAATTGTGTACGCAGTGCGTTTGTATGGGAAAAAACTGAAGTTAGGGTGGCACATTGAACTAATAAGCCCATCGGATATGGATAAGAATTACCGTCTATTTTGGTCATGAATTATCCACCGCCTATTCGCCGTACTGTTCCCTGTTCAATATTAACACATAGGCGTGCTGTGCGGCTGATACTGAGAGCGAATCAGCTAAAGATGCCTAATATTTTTCTTGAATTCAATTTGATTAACTTGACTAACCTTTACGTGCGTGGAGTTACACTCTGGTTAGCCGGATGCCTTATTATAGTTTGCAAGATAGAATACTTATTGCCGCCAAACAAAGTGTTGCGCCCGGAGCACGAGATCTTTGATTTTCGGCGGTAAGTCGAATCGGTCAAGGGCCCCCGCACTTTACAGCCGTGCGCCGCGCGGTCGCATGCCCTTCATGCGCTCTCGCGACAGACGTTTAAACGTCGAAGATGTACGAGTGACATAAGAAAGATCCAAACCATAATCTGTTCACTCGCCGAATTTCCAGCGCGAGGCTCGAGTCATTCGTATAATGCCCATGTGCAATCGCGCGTAATAGGCTATAATATACAATATATATAACAAATTCAAATGATAAGTTAAGGGTGTTTAAAATTTCATCAGCGAGCTTTCGAGACGCACAACTCTTCCTCGGGCTTTTAGCTGACATTACAATGTCAATATCAATGTCAATGTTAATATCAATGTCAATGACAATGTCAATGTCAGCTGCAAACTCGCACGCGATATACACACAAACTCGCACACACGCACGCACGCACGGACACACGCATGAACGCGCGCACACATGCACATATATTTAATAATTTATTAGAGAAATGGATTCATAACATTAAAATCAAAATGCAAACGTATGGTATAATATTTTATATATTCATAATTTAACGTATTATTTTTTAGGCGCCTACCCTATCTTTAAGTTTATGCCTGGTTTAAAAAGTGAAAAAAAACGTAAGAAGACGACGCGGGATTTCGCCGTCAGCCTCTTTAACACTCATAATTACGACTAAGCACGTCTGTCTCCCTGCATCACCCATACTACGCTCTGGCTATGACAACCGAAGGTGAAGCCAATTCCATCTGTACCACTATATACCGGACGGGCGGTGGGATAGCCGGACGGATGGACGGACAGACGGATGGACAGACGAATAGGCGGACGGAGCTACCGACGGATGGACAGACGGACAGGAGGAGGGACAGACGGATGGACGGACGGACAGGAGGAGGGACAGATGGATGGGCAGACGGACAAGAGGAGGGACAGACGGATGGGCAGACGGACAGGAGAGGGGCAGGCGATGGACAAGACGGCTCATGGGCAGACGAACAGGAGGAACAGGCGGGGATGGACAGAGATGGGCAGACAACAGGAAGAGGGGCAGGCGGATCGGAGCAGACGGACAGGGGAGGAAAGGCTGATGGACAGACACGGAATGGGCAGTAACCAACAGGAGGAGGGACAGACGGATGGACAGACGGACAGGAGGAGGGACAGACGGATGGACAGACGGACAGGAGGAGGAACAGGCTGATGGACAGACGGATGGGCAGACAGACAGGATGAGGGACAGACGGATGGGCAGACGGACAGGAGGAGGGACAGACGGATGGACAGACGGACAGGAGGAGGGACAGGCGGATGGACGGACGGACAGACGGAAGAACGGGACACACATGCACCTGCCGTCTAACGAGCTCCTCATACATCACATCATATCATACATCATACATCATCATCATCATCATCATCATCATCATCATCATCATCATCATCATCATCATCGTCATCGTCATCGTCATCGTCATCGTCATCATCATCATCATCACCATCATACATCATATCATGACAGCGTCCTATAGAGCAGGATATCTGAACAATATGATCGTCTACGATTCTGGCACACACATCACTGCGAGTTGAGCGCACACAGTCATATGCATGACAGTCTCTCGCAGCGTGGTGGCATGGGGTGCCTTTACCCACCCATGTTCTGCGCTTAATGGAGGGCCCCTGCAACCTCGTACGCTACCACAAACCATCGCCAAATCACCATAAATGTCGCCTATATGTAACGCTGAGATGCGGTTAATTGTGAGCAAGCTGTTCTCTGTAGAATTTCCCGTAAGCGAGGAGAAAAGATCGAGGGGTGATAGACAACCAGACAGATAGCCATGAGATATGATGACTGAACCCCGTATTATTCACTACATCATGACGGACTTCATCGTATAGCTTAGTGAACACACACACGCACACGCGCACGCACACACACACGCACACGCACACGCGCGCGCGCACACACACATTTATAGTCACTGGAAGTATGCGTAACTCATTAACTGCTCACAATCAAAGCACTTATACGTACATGGTTACTTGCTTATATGTATGTTTATAGCGTGCACACAATTTAACGCATTAC